CCTCCCCTCCGTAAATCATCCTCTGTGAATGACTAATGGGATTGGTGTATAAATACCCCAGCTCCCCCAGCCCTCTGTTGGGATGATGTTGAAGCCCACATTTCTTACTGTTTTCCAGGGTCCCCAAGTGGGATTAGGCTCTAGTTTCCCAGAAGAGTAACAAGTTAATAATACACTCTTTACTGGTTCCTTCTCTTCCGTGTCTGCTTCCCACTTCCCTACAGGGACATCTTAGGATCCCCTCAAATCCACTACTTGCACTCGAATCCTTGTTTCAGAGTCTGCTCCTACAACAGGATTTCTCCACTATAGATTTTCGATGCCAGATAATTTCTTGCTCTGGGGGCTGTTCTGTTCATTGTAGGATGTTTAGCAGCATCCCTGGCCTCTACCCACTAGATACCAGTAGCATCTCCCAAGTTGTGACAACCAAAAATGCCTCCAACGTTGCCAGATGTCTGCCCAGGGCAACATTGCCCCTAGTTGAGAACCACTGTGCTAGGGGAAATAAAACTAAAACAATATCCGATTGAAATGTGACTGCAACTCTCCACGAAGAGAAATGCCCTGTGCATCACAGGTTTTACTTCCTGTTAAGGCTGACTCTTCAGTGTCAAACAGAAATGAGTTGGTTGTTTCATTATATGGATGAAATTGATTCCTACGTTTATTTAACAAATAGTTCCTGAGCGCTTACTCTGTTTTATACAGCTGATTGAAGACCTAAGACACGGCAATAAATAAAAATGAGACAATTTTTTAAAATAAAAATTAAAAATATAAGAAACATATACATATATAAAAATAATAAGATTAAAAATAAAAAGTCAACAGATAAATGCCCTGCACTAATGAAGCCTAATGTATTTTTTTGGAAGGAAAAAAAAATGGAGCTTTTTCCAGGACCGTATACAAAATGCCAGTGGTTCTCAACCTGTGTTCCTTGGAGCCCTCAGTTTCGGTAAAGGAACCTTGGAGGCTGCTGCAAGGGATAAGGTATTCTGATGAGGGATACGGGGCAGGGCAGGCTTAACTAAAGATGCTGAGACATTACAGAGACAACCTGCTCTATGCCCCACAGCTAAATGTTCAAGGATTTCAAAGAACCCATGAATAAGTGAAATGTTTGGGTTTTTTTTACTGCCTTTAGTCAGCCTGTTCAAGGGCAGATGGCTCAGTCTGACCTCTTAGCTAGATGCCAACCAATCAGTTTACCTAAACAATGTAATTTAAGACTCATTGTTTTCAAAATGGTGGGCGTTTTTCTTTCCTTTCTCCCCTCTCTCTTGTAAATTCCTTTTTCCCTTTATTCATTGATAAGTTTACTGACTGTTCTTCATATGTGAGCAAATTTGCATGCAGGTTACCAACTAACTATCTGAGTTATTCTTTGACAAGGATAAGAGGGACGACCAGTGGCACCATGCTAGACCCCAACGCTCCATTAACCCACATCTCTTTTTTCTTCTTAAACATTGGGGCTTATGGTGATATTTTGTTTGACAAAAGAGTCCTTTCCTATAAAAAACAAAAAGCAAGAGATTAAAAAACACACACCCTACAGCACCAAAGCCACTGTGCGAAAGAAACCCAACAATGGACTAGCAAGTGCTCTGCTGAGTGGGACATGCTGATTGACTGAGGAATCTTGCGTAGTTAGGTACCTTCGAGGAAGTAGCTGCCCCTCGCCGGTGTCCAGTGTAGACTGTCACCAGGTAGTGGTAGTGGGCAAAGGGGTCATTGTCCTCCAGCACCGTGACCTTCGCCTGGACAGAAAGATTAAGTTAGGAGGGCTCTACTCAGTGGTTTTATCCACTGTACAGCAGCCATGAGTGAGCTGGACATTCATGACAATTACAGAGGGAAAGCAAAATTACATATGCTATATATTCACTCCATCAGGTGAGAACAAGTAAAATAAAAACTTTTAAAATAAAAAGTATAAAACACATTTGTTATTAAATATGACCCAAAGTCATCAAATTGGAAATGAACTGGGTATTAAGCCGAGAATGTTTGATGTTTGATCTGGTGAATGATACAAACTCTGTTTATATATAATTTCTCATAGCATTTGATAACCATATTGTGCCTCTAAGGGGATTTAAAAGGGATGAGTGTTAAGGTGGTTAAGCAAAAAATAAAAATATTTTTAAAAGCTGGAGTTGGCTGGAGGTTGCAGAGAGCTCTATGATGAGCTGCCCAGATCTCCTATCAATGGAGGGCGCTTGTTGCCCCAGTTGCTGAGGTGCTGTTGTCAGAGATGCAAGAGCCACCTGTGTTGAGGTCATGTACCCTCCTGGGGAGGCCAGCATCCAATGACAGATTGCTGTGGTGCCTGGGTGTGAACAAGACTTGGACATCTCAACTCAATTCTGGAGAGCTCTGGAGTTCTCCTTGGGGTCAGCCGGGCTGTCGGTGGGCTGCATTCCAGCTCAGCGTCTCCCTCTGCTCATCCTGTCTCCTTCCCCGCCTTCCTATGGGCGATCCCGAGCACTCCTTGATACACACCCTGCATGCTACACTCCATCTCAGAGTCTGCTTCCCCCAAGGGAACCAACCTACACCTGAGGCACTTAAAGTATTAACGTTTAATCCCCTGGGTGAATCAAAAGCAGCAGTATAAATGCTGCAACTATTTATCTTAAGTGTCATATCATCTTAACATCCAAGAGGTGGTGCTGTGTGGGGGGAGGGCAAAGGATGGAAATGTTACAGAGCTTTGCAACTGCGTACTTGCATTCATTTACGTGCTCCCTCAGACACTCACAAATATTTATTGAAGGCTCATTGTGTGTCACACATGGAGCATATATTGGAAAACTAATCAGAACTTTGTTGTTGCAATTTGTTGCACAATCTGTTGCTTCATCTTGTTTCTATCCTCAGACCTGTCTTATTGTCAGGCAGTTCAGGGTTTGAATTCTGGCTCCTGGGAGGGTGGCTTTCGACCAGTTAATTGTGCTCTCTGATCCTTGGTTGCCTCCTCTGTAAGACAATAGAGGTATTGTGCAGTAAAGGGTGAACTCGGCAAGCTTGGGTTGCCCAAAACCCTGCATGTTTCAAAGAAAGGGCTGGCTCTTGTCCAGATGCTGAAAGATAACCTGCAAGTTCTCAGAAGATCCAGCATTGTAAGTGTATCTTTGAATACCTGGAGCCATGGGCCACAGCAGATAGTCTATGCTAACAATGTGATTTATGGTGAGGGCTTTGGGCCCTGCTGTATCAGTTTGACCCCTGGGCAGGAGTGGGGCGGTTTGCTGGAGATTGTGCAATGAACTTTAGTCATTTGCACGCTGCATACTTATGTGACTGACCCCCAGTTGAACCCTAGACACCAAAGCTTAGGTGAGCTCTTCTTGATGGCAATACTTTGTATGTATTGTCACTCATCATTGCTAGGAGAATTAAGTCTGTCCATGCAACTCCACTGGGAAGGGACAACTGGAAGCTCTCGTCTGATCTCCAGAGGACCTTCCCCTTTGCTGGTTTTAATCAGTATCCTTTCACTGTAATAAACCATAATCATGAGTATAATAGCTTTTCAGAGTTCTGTGAGTCGTCCTAGCAAGTTTTTGAACTTGAGAGTGGTCTTGGGGACTCTCAACACGGTACCTTCTTCTTAGGGCTATTGTGAGTATTAAATGGGGTGATGCCTAACATATAGTAAATCCCCAATAAATGATCAGTATCATAATCCTTGTGATAACTTGCCTGAGATGACTCCAGGGATCAAGGCCTAGATTTGCAACTAGCCTTTTGGCTCCCCATCTGGGCTCCATCCCCTGGAGCTCCTGCAAGGGCTCACACCTGCTCCTCCCTCCCATTCCCCAGGACCATACAATCTCACCTTGGCCTGATCCTGAGCATCCTTCCTCCTTGCCCAGATCACCACCAGCACGTAGGCCACACAGAGACAGCCCACAGTGGTCACGACCACAGGGTTGTCCTCGAAGGTGGCAAAGAGCTCCTCTGTCTGGCGGACATGGATGGCATTGGGCATCACCAAGAATGTGCTTCCGAAGAAGGTGAGGTGGTTGCAGAGGCAGTGTGTCTGGGAAGGGGTGGTCCATGGCCCCACCTACAACCGCAAAGAGGCCCTGGTAGAAATGGGAGCACATCCCTGAATGGCTTGAGCCCAAGGGGGAACGATGAGGAGTGGACACTGTCCTGGGGAGGGTCTGGGGAGTCTGTTGGGAGACCAGCTTCAGGATTCCATTTGGGTTTTTTGTCAATTAAGAAATAATTTTAAAATGAGGATATTGTCTTTAACAAGCATCTTTGCACCCATCATTCTCAATGGGCAATGTCCATCTCGTCAGTTGTGCTTTGTCTTTTTTAGATACGTATTGCAGGGAAAGCTAAAGTCCCCTCTGTCCCCCATCGTCCACAGCCAGCCATTATCACACTTTGATGTGCGTCATTCCAGTCCATTCTCCCACCTGATGTTCACTCATTGTACAGATATTTGTTGAACGCTAATTCTAGGTGAGATAACAGGCGACGTGCTGAGGAGGACATCCGGGGGGGTGACCAGTTCATCCCAGTTTGGCAGGGACTTTCTAGCTTTTCAACCTGAAAGTCTTAAGTTGGTCCTCTTACACTGAAGAACAAAGGAAGGCTGAAACTGGGGGAACCATGCACAGAAAAGGGAAGGGCAAATACTTAATTCTAATCTGGTGTCTCATCACCAGGAAAGTATTCCCTAAAGTTGACGCCCCCTTACATCTAGGCACCTGGAGCCCCTGTCCTGGGCTATCGTTGGAAGCGTCCCGCTCTAGCTGTCCTCGGGCTGTGCACCTCTACACAGGATGAGGAATTGGGGCCAAGGAGACACCCCTGCCGCAGCACATACCACCCAGCCAGGACTAGGGCATGGCCTTGGGTGACCCTGAGAAGGAGTTCCTCCCTAAACTTTGCATTCCAGATGCCTCACTCGTCTTATCCTAGCCTTCCACTTGGGTACCTGGAACCTCAGAATTCCCTGCTTCCAGAGCCTGCACAGACCTCTTCCTCAGGATCATCAGTCCACTGTGGGGCTGGCCACTGGTGTCCCCACACCTGGACATGAGAGCGGCTAGATGTGGCTTAGGGGGTGGGGTGGGGCATGTGGATGGAGCTTGGGCATGCTGTCCCATTTGGTATGGGACAGTGAGGTTCGGGGTAAGGAGACAGGAATGGGCGAGGGCAGGGACCCCAGCTGCATTCTTAATTTATACCCCGAGCTTAGGGGCAGGCCTTCCCTAAAAGCCCTCAGCCAGCTTGAAATTTCCCCCCAGGGCCATTTGGTGGGTAAAGATTTAATTCAAACCCACAACTCAGCACCACCTTTTCATTCCAGGGTCCACCACAAGGTGGTAAGGTGGGAGGGAGCAGAAAGCACTGGCATGCGAAAAGTTCTCTGCTCAACACCTGATGAAGAAGAACCTGCTGTATCCCAAACATGCCCCCTTTCCCTCCACAGGGCATGGCACCAACTGCTTATTGATGAATTTCACGTGGGTCTTAGTCCTGTGTTTGCTCTGTAGTTTTTCTCACTGTTTCCCAATCCTGGCCAGAACATTTGGCATGCAACTCGGGCTTACAGGAATACTTGGCACACCCGGGAGGGGTGGGGCTAGTTTCAGAGAAGAAACCCAAGTAGGTGCCAGTAACAAGACCATCTCAGTGCTGGGAGCCCTGGGACCAGATATGACTTATGTCTAAGATCTTTGCCCTCCTGGGTTTTCACCAAGACCTGGCC